CCCGGAAAAATTTAGAAAGAGATAAAGAGAGAGAGAGAGAGAGATGCTCCACAGACAAGAAGTTGGTGTGAAAAACCATTCTGTTTGTTGGATACTTTTGATGCACTGTGACCTTTACTCTAACAGTATCCGCCACCCACATCACTATGAAGCTGGGATGCCACGCCACTGGTCCGGATGAGTAGACCAATAAAAATGTGTCTGCCTCTGTGTCTGTCTGCTTCATAAGACCGTGTGTTGTGGCCATCAGCGCGGAGCGGAACAAGTGGCCATCAGCGCGGAGAGGAACACCTGTAGTGGCCACCTGGCAGTCTTCAGTCAAGCTGGTGGAAACATTGCTCTCACACACAGAGAAAACGACCTTATGATATACAAAGCCCACAGGTGATATTACCAGTGTATTAAAGATCACGGCATTTGGATCATACTTTGCTGCCACACCAGGTAAAGGTTGCTCACGGGACCAACCAAGGACGAGTAGAGCTGTAGAGATGTGTCCTGCCACCACGAGAAAGAGTTTCACATAACACTGACATCAGGCACGGAATGACAGCATCAGATTGAACCTAAAGACACGCCATTTATAACACACTTGATGATTTTAACAGAGGATAAACTGAAACGCATATTGTACTCATCCGTTGGTCTACTTCGCTCGCCTCGTGTCTTAAAGGTCGCTGGTTCAACCCCGGAGCATCCCCAGCTGTAAGTGGGTACCTTTCTCTCCCGTTGGGGAAGTGAAGACAGTCAGGGGCAGCTCCTCCTTGTGTACCGAAGGCTTAGTTTGCCGTGTACTGCATCTACACTGTTCTCACCAGCCCTCACGACTATAGGGTCCAGTTCAAGGACAAACGAACATTACCCAACCGTACTCTAGAGTCCTGCCCTACACTCATCACCTGCTTTAAATGTACTAAATGTTTTTCTTCTAATAAAGTTTACATATTTACTCTATGTGTGTGTGTGGGTCTTAAAGTACAGAGGTTAGGTGGGTGTGTGGGGGAGATAAGGGTCACTGGGGATAAATGACTTGACTTTACTCATCAACTTGTAATTATTGTCCTTCATAACGATCTGTTGAGTGTAGGTTGTACTGCGCCCCCATTATACTTATGTTTTTCAATTCCACTGTAATTTATATGTATATGTATGTATAAATAAAAAATAATAATAAATGCAAAATAAAAATAATAAATAATAAAATAAATAAATATTGAAGTGATAACTGTGGTAACATTATGAGATGTAATTATTACTACCATGCTATTGTACTATTCCAGATGATACTAAATGTTACCTAATACTTCCCTGAGATAAATGTATAGTGTACAGTATATCAGGTGCCTCAAAGAGAGCTCAGGTTCTCAACGGGCTCAGCCATGTTAATATTGTTATTATTATCCACTCTGTATCTGTGTTCTTCTGGCTAAATAAAATGTTTCAATTCAATTAAATTAAATTCAATAACGGTGTTTGTAATTAATAAGGACTGTGACTATATACCTTTTGGTGTTGTACAGTAAGAAATTGACAGATACTGAAGATGATTTATCACGACCAACGTAAAGAAAAACAAAACACTGTCGACTTTACGCACGATGTACCAAGGTACGGCCAGGAATGTGAGGAAGGTGGGCGAAGGGCGTTGGGGGCAGGAGGAAGTTGGGCGTGGGGGGGCTGGAGGGAGAAGTCTAGGGTGGGGCTAGAGACGCGCATTGTAGGTGGGGGGGAGATTGGGCGTGGGGGTGAGGGGAGAGGGTGAGAAGGCTGGTGCACTTGTCCCCAACACACTGAGTTACGTGTTGGCATTCAGTTAACCTCCCTCCCTACCCCCGTCTCACCACCCACCCACCCTCCCCACCCACCCTCCTTCTTGCCCAGGTGAGAACATAGTTTACTCTGCCTCCTGTAGCTACGACGCCTACGTGGTGGCGTCGACCTTGCACGAAGACCAAATTTCAACATATACCTGTATCGTCACTAATCACGGGGGGGAAGAGCCTAACACACCTGAGGTTCTGTGAAGGATCTCTTTATAAATTCTTGGAAGTCTTGTAGGCTGAGTCTTCCAGGTAATTGATGGTAAGAGAGGAGAGCATCTAAACGACTCACTTAAGCTGCAGTACAATGCTGATGGCGTCTTGAGTGAGGTTGTAATCACACTCAGGCGTTAATGTCAATAGACTACCAGTTCCATCACAGCTGTTGTTCGTCTTGTCGAGGATGCTGGCGGAGTGAGAGATAATGGCCCCTTATAGTACTCAAGGGGTTTAGTGTACTCAAGGGGTTTAGTGTACTCAAGGAGTTTAGTGTACTCAAGGGGTTTAGTGTACTCAAGGGGTTTAGTGTACTCAAGGGGTTTGGTGTACTCAAGGAGTTTAGTGTACTCAAGGGGTTTAGTGTACTCAAGGGGTTTAGTGTACTCAAGGGGTTTAGTGTACTCAGGAGTTTAGTGTACTCAAGGGGTTTAGTGTACTCAAGGAGTTTAGTGTACTCAAGGGGTTTAGTGGTCAAGGAGTTTAGTGTACTCAAGGAGTTTAATGTACTCAAGAAGTTTAGTGTACTCAAGGGGTTTAGTGTACTCAAGGAGTAAATTACTCATTATCAGGGTTAAACCAACGTACTCATGTTCTACTGTAACGTTGAGTTGATGGTCGTGTAGTGAAGGTCACACACTCATTACCTGTAATTAAGTCACTGAACCACACAATGAGTACTGTTTGGGTAGAGTTACAAACCCAATTACGTCTTTTTTCTAGTTTATTATAAAAAAAAAGATTCTATGCACGATAAAGTCTGACATCACAGTAACTACACAATGGACGTGTATACCTTTGCAGATTATGGGAGCATGAGTGTAAGAGCTTCAGTATGCACACGACCGATCAGTGTCAGGTACCTGGACCAACTGAGTCAACCGCCTCTAACTAGCAAGTTATGTGTTGACCTGGGCTGTGTAGTAATGCGCTGAGGTCATGTGAAGGGCACTGAGGCTACATGACATTACTACACACTTTCTCGAAGTTTAATTACATTAGATGATGTAATTATATATATATATATATATATAATATATATATTTATATAACATACAATCAACACCTCAACCCACCAGGATTCGAACCCACGGCCCACGAGCCCATGACTGTGACCGGGGAACGCTACCTCTGGACCACCAGGATACTAAAAGCAGTCTACACTCTGTTATATTTCACACAAAGCCTGTTCAACGAGCTTATGGCGCCGTGAACAGAGTCTAGGACTGCTTTTAGTATCCTGGTGGTCCAGAGGTGGCAGTCACAATCATGGTCAGCAGAGCAGGTGTTGATCTGATCTCGTGCTTTATTGGGCTAATGAAATATATATATATGCAAGTAAATCACTGTAGGTTGCTGCATTTATAAGGTTCCTTGCAAGGAATGTAATATGTTTTACTTAGGCCAGACAGGTAAGGATCTTGTAACTGGACTTAAACAACATAAATATAGTGTTAGGACAGGCCAGGAATCCAATGCTCTGTTTGTTCATTTGAGGGATAATAAGCACTGCATTGACTGGGATAATGCCTACTCAATATTACCTTGTAATTCAATTGACAGTAGGAACATTATATAATCCAGTCTCATATATATGCTGATAGCCACAAGGAAAAAGAAATCACGAAGTTCCCAAGCGCTTTCGTGTAAGTCACCCCTGAAGATGTGAATTACACGAAAGCGCTTTGGAACTTCGTGTTTTCTTATTTCTCTGTGGTTATCAGCATATACTTGCAAACGGGTTAATAATTTTAAGGGTCGTTATCGTTAAATCATCGTACTCGTGGGGTTAAATCATAATATTCAAGTAGTTAAATCAATGTACTCCAGGGGTTTAAACATCGCATTCAAGGGGTTAAATCATCGTACTCAAGGGGTTAAAACATCGTATTCAAAGGGCTAAATCACTATACTCCAGGGCAAAATCATCATACTCAAGAGATTAATCATTATACACACTCGGGTACTTTATTTTATTTTATTACATTGGTATGAAACGAAAAACAAACACTGAGAGAAAAGCTTTCAACCGACCCAAAACACGTACATTATTTATTATTTATTATTTCGTCATCTGAATCCTAATACGGCGAGGGGCGGGCGGAGGAGCACACTCTGGTAATAAAATGTTAAATCTGGGGATATATTTTTATTTTTAAGTGTGATGACGTCAAAATAGAAGAATTAAGACCCACTTTTTATTAATTAAATGACAGACACACATATTAAGAGGTAATTTTTTTTTTTTGCTCGTTTTCTCCGTAACTCGATTCTGATGATGCTGCTCGTGTGGTTGTGTGTGTGTGTGTTGTGTGGTGTGTGTGTGTGTGTTGTGTGTGTGTGTGTGTTGTGTGTGTGTGTGTGTGTGTGTGTGTGTGTGCGTGTGTGTGTGTGTGTGTGTGTGTGTGTTGTGTGGTGTGTGTGTGTTGTGTGGTGTGTGTTGTGTGTGTGTGTTGTGTGTGTGGTTGTGTGTGTGTGTGTTGTGTGGTGTGTGTGTGTGTGTTCAGCGCCAGAACAGAACACCGACGCTGGCCTCCTCCTCCTCACCTTGAACTACCATTTATGGACAACGGCTGGAAATTACCCACCAAGGGATGGAAGTTTTGCCTCAGTGTTAAGCATACAAAGCAATAGACGGATACACAGACGTGATGACAACAGTAAAGGGAAAATAAAATCACCAGGAAAATAAGTCAGAAAAAAAAAAGTTTGGATTTTGGCTAGGAAAAAAAATCACAGGCAAATAAGTCATATTTTTATATCATTAACACGTTAGGTTACGTTAGGTTTTGAATGTTTTCTTTTGTTTTTAGAAAGTAACGAATTGTCGAAATGTTCAACATGTAAACCTAAACGGTGACTTCTTTCCTGTTAATTTTCCTAGTGACTTTCTCCTATAATTTTTTCCCGTTACCTTGCCCTATGAATTAATTCCTATTCTTTTTTTTGTGACCCTTTTCCCAGACGACCGATGCCAACACAAGCAAGTCCCGACTCCTGGTACTAGGGCGGGAAACAAGAGTAACGTCAGCGTGAAGTTCACCTCAACACCAATTGACTTTCAACTCTTGACGTAAGTGTGAAAGTATTTAATTAATACTCATCGTGAGGTAATCCGCTTCACCTGAAGATTAGACACCCCAGCTTATTTCACCTGAAGATTAACCACTCTAAGGTAATATCACATAACTTAACCCAATTTAACATAATCTAACTTAAACTAACCTAAGATGATAAAACCTAATTTAACATAACCTAACTATAGCACACAAATGGTAGGAGGGTGGCAACAGTACAGCAGGTGGCGGGCAGCCTGACAGGTGACCTACACAAATGCAGTATCTCTCTTGCATACATTTGTGTCTCTCCAGCCTACACAGATCTCCATCATACATATTTCTCCATCATACATATCTATTTCCCCATCAAATATATCTATCATCATACACAGTCAGACACAAACATGATAGAGTTGATGCCTTAGCTAAACTCACGTCTAATAAATACAGTGTTGAATATATAATCTACGTGTGTCAAACAGATCCCTTCAAAGTGCAAACAGGAAGAACTTGTTGATGAATATGAAGCAAGTATAGACAGGTGCAAACAGGAACTAGTCAATCCATTGTTTACCAGGATGAGATGAATCAAGTAAAACAGCTAGACTAAGGTTAGGATATGAGTACCTCTGGCAGTATATCCCTCAAGCAGATGTGAACAAAACTAAATGTAAAGTGTGTAGCCAGACATATGGCCACACACTTCAAGATTATGTCGTAAAATGTGAGAAAAAACAGAACCTTTTAGGGACAGATCTAAGTACACATTTTATCTCTAATAGCAATATAAGTGATATATTACGATTGTATCCACATTTTTCACCTAGTAACTAAGTCAACTCATATGTTCAGAACTAAACAAACAATGAACTGAAAACATTCTAATACTCAACGCCACAATATCCTAACCACCAGGGTCTGTTATACACCTATTGTGACCTCTACTACAGCAATCTTTTTATTTTCTTCACTACAGCTCACAGGATGAGTATTGGGTGCACACAAAACTAGCCATCAACTCTAAATTCACTTCCCCATCACACAGGGACAAGTGCAGTGTTCACAAGCAAGCGATGACGTTATTCCAGCCCGCAGCGCGTCACTTTGGTCATTGGGAGTCATAAGCAGCCACTAATCCGCTCTGCACCTGATCAACCAGCTAAGACACCTTCAAGTTGGAGAGAGAGAGAGTTGCCTGCTACAGAGTTGCCTGCTACAGAGAGTTGCCTGCTACAGAGAGTTGCCTGCTATAGAGAGTTGCCTGCTACAGAGAGGGGTGTGGTGATAGCGCAGGTGATGAGATGGTGAGGGTAGTGATGCTGATTTGTTCTAGCCCTTATGAATCAGTATTATATAAATATGGGCTAAGGACATATATTCATTGTATACATTCTATCACCCAGACTATTGAGCATAAAGCTACATAAGCATTTGTTCTGTCACACCTCCTAGGGTGGACAGCACACATAAACATTTGTAGTTTCACACAGATTCAGGTTACAACCCATAAATATATGTCCCCAGGCCTCCGTGAGAGTAGGCCTGTGGAGTGTAGCCTCTTATCTCTGTGTTGACGTATAGATTACATACCCCCTTACAAGCAGACAGAGAGAGGTTCGCCTAGTTCACAGTTTCACACAGTTCACGAGGTCACAGCCAGACACCGTACCAAAGAGATGTGTGTGAGCATAGCTCCCAAGGCTGTATCTCTCTCTAATTTTATCAGCTAATTACAAGCTAATGCTCAGTAGTCTGTCAACAAACAATTCTGTAACTACCAGAGCATCCAATATAACTAGAAAATCACCACGTGTGTTTACATTAAACCAAGGAACCACAAATGAAGATAACAGAACCTGTGTACACTTGTGTATACTTACAAGCTAAGATAATTACAAGTGTAACCCAGGTGGGCTTGGACGACTCAACGACTCAACTCAACGAGTCAACGACTCAAAACTACGACTGTATCAAAGGTGACACGCCGTGAGACTACCGATTATCTCACCCAGCTTCATCAAATGCAACTTTAAACTACAATAAACTAATGCTAACGCGTCATCTTCCATCAGCGACAATGATCGTGGAGATATATACAAAAATAAAAAGTTTTCCTTGGGTCGGTAAGTGAATCATGAGGCTGAGGGAGATGTTACCTAAATGCCGGTCTGACTACATCTTCTCTTACCGTCTTTGTCATGTGATAGATGAAGCGAGCACTACCAGCAGGAGGTCGTGCGGCGGGCTGGAGTCGAGGCGGAAAGATACATAACAGGGCGTCCTGACTTATACCATTTTATATAATATTTCGTGTTGAATGACTTTATTTCCTTCTAAAACTCCATTTATTATATTATTCCAGTTTCCAGAAGAGGTGAGGTAGACGTCCGGATGTTGGTAAGTGACTGCCTTGCTGGTGACTGTAGATACAACTTAATGTTTACTAACTCTCCGTGACACTGCACTCGACAGTAGGGTGATAGAGATGTTCCTTGAAATAATATAATGAGCGAAGAGAAGAGAAGAGAGAAGCAGTTAACATTATCCAGGTGTTTATAAAAGGTTAAGAAAATATGAAACAACTCCCAAATTACCTCATTAGTCAACGAGAGATGAGCAAGAGACGATATACATTCCACTTTTAAATTACAGTATGTATGGAGAGCTCATTACCTGCAGAAGCCATCAAGTATACAGGTGTAGAAAGATTTAATAAAAAAATACACAAGCTAATAAGACCAGGTAGATGAGGCTACATGACTATACTTGTTAATACTGTAAACAAACGGTGATAAGTAGCCCTTCACCCGGTCCTGTATAATGATCTACTGCACCTCTGTTTTCACTTCATTGATGGAAATGAATAACTGTATTGCTTGTCTATCGTCATGTTAATAGTTTAGTTTAAAAATCATTACTTATAAATATTAACCTTCGACTGTGAGGCCGCTGTTATCTACACCGTGAGTCTTGTTTACACACACAGGCCACAGCGTCTGTCTCGAGGTTAGTGACGTCATGGATCAGTAACGTAATATGGCGAAATATAATGGACGCCTTTATTGGAATTAATTTAACACAATAAACCAGAAAAAATATTAATTTACAATGTCAAAACTTAAATCAAAGCGGGGAATAAAAAAAATAATTGTCGAGAAATGAAGAGACGTAAATTTACAAGGGTACAATACTGTTGATTTTTTACGCTGGTGATATTTTAATTTGTTATCAATTTTCCTTGTTGAAGCAGTGATCAACTGTAGCCAGGCCAGACCACTGGAGGCAGGTGACGGGGTGGACGATAACAATCTAAAATAATAATAATAATAATAATAATAATAATAATAATAATAATAATAATAATAATAATAATAATAATAATAAACGGTTTATTAATAGAGTTGCAGCCGGTGGCTGAAAATATACAGACTTACATTTGATTTAGACATAATGATATAATATGCATTGAATACATTTACAGGGCTGTACAGTACATAAATCAGGAGTTGTTTATTATTTTAACAATAGATGGGATGGTGCTGTTCTTATATCTATCGGTGCGGGCTCTTATGGGCTGAATTTTGTTGTAGTGGCGGACTGCGCGAGTTGGGTGGGGGGCTGGCAGGTGGCGGCGATGGCGAGGGTGGTGCAGTAGTCCACTGCCAAACCTTTCCAGTGCTTGGTGGTGGAGGTCACTGAGGGATGGCATTTCCAGGGTGGAGAGAGCGTTGGTGTAGCCGGAGTATTCTGCGCCGAGCATGATTCTGCAGGCCCTTTTCTGTACCTTCTCTAGCTGACGTTGTTGGGTGGAGTTGAGAGAAGACGACCAGGCTGGTGATGCATACGTTAGTTTGGGGACAATAAAGGCGTTGTAGATGGTCCTCAGCTCTGGCGTGGGTGTCCCAAGTGACCTAAGTCTTCGTAGCATGTAGAGACGGTACGAGGCTGCCTTGACTGTGTTATTTACATGGGCCTTCCAGTCAAGTTTGTTGTCTATAGTTACACCCAGGAGTTTGGCAGACTGCACCAGCTGGAGAGGATGGGCACCCACTGTGACTGCTGGGGCTTGCACTGGAGTGGTGGCGGTATTGATGTGCATGACTACGGTTTTGGTGTGGTTGATGGTGACCTTGTTCTCCGTAGTCCATGCCTGTAGCCTGTCCAGGGTGCCTTGGAGCGATGAGTAGTCTGGTGCGGTGTTGTCCACTGAAACCCCCACAGTGCAGTCATCCACGTACTTCCACCTGTGAGGAGTGTCCGATAGAGCGTCGTTGATCAGGATGAGGAAGCACAGTGGTCCCATCTTGGTCCCCTGGTGTCTTCTTAGTATTGTTAGTGGTTAAGCCTTGTATAAAGCCGTGATCCAGGTTATGTTGTTAATAACTACAAAAATATAATGAACAGCAGCCAGCAGTTGTTTGTATGACGTTTTATGAGTAGAGGACATCTTAACTCTCTAGTGACCTTTGTAAGTGACCCTCATAATTATAAGCTTGGCTCAGTCTTCTCGGTTTGATGATCCTCATCTTTTTTTTAATAAACCTCTTTAATCTGACGTAGTTTTATATTCTGATTTAATATATACACGTACTGTATATATATATATATATATATATATATATATATATATATATATATATATATATATATATATATATATATATATATATATATATATATATATATATATACACAGTACGTGTATATATTAAACCAGAATGTAAAACTACGTCAGATTAATGTTTTATTAAAACAAAAACAGAGTTCATCAAACCGAAAAGATGCGCTTGACTTTTTTTATTATTATTTTTTATTCCGCCTGACTTTAGTACACATTCTAGCAGCACGACAAACAAGCCTGAGTATACTGAGCAATAAGAGTTGAGTACAGTATGTGTCTTACATACAATACAGCCTCGTAAGTTGACTGACCGGGGGGGGGTCCATCCTTTATAAACAAGATAAAACATGATAAAATTCTCCTAAATAAAAGTTACACCAAGAGCGAGTGTCGTGATGCAGAAAGACGAGCGTTGTGGAGGAAACTGAGGACGGTGGACGGGTGGCTGACGCAGCTTGGTAATACCAAGAGTAAAATTTGAAAATCTCGTCTGACATTATGAAGACGACGAGATGTAAGAAGCTGTGTGGAATTATAGACAAGAACAAAATATGAATTCGATTTTTTACCTTATCGTTTGTGATGTTAGAGAAATATGATGATGAGAGTTGATTGGTTAAAGAATGTGCAGTAGTGGTGGGTGGATATGACGGTAAATAATGACCTTTGTAAGAGTTTGTATGTTGGTAGCTGTGGACGTAACCAGGTTAATTAGTGTCTTATCAAGGTACTGTCTCAAGGTCTGTGTTCAGTGCAACTGTATGTAGTATGTAGTGATCCCCCGGTACTAGACAGTGTGTGGGTTAGATCACCTGAAGATTAACCACCCCAGCTTATTTCCCCTGAAGATTAACCACCCCAGCTTATTTCCCCTGAAGATTAACCACCCCAGCTTATTTCCCCTGAAGATTAACCATCCTAAGCCCGACCGTGTATACTTGCGTTGAACTGTTGAACTGTATCCTGTACCTCCATAGTCTATACACATACGAGAATAATTGTAAACTTTTATGGTTGTTTTACCGATTTATTGTTATTATTATTATTATTATTATTATTATTATTATTATTATTATTATTTATTGTTACTGATGTTATTATTGTTGTTGATTAGTATTATTATTACCATTTTTATTATTGCTTATTATTAGTAGTAGTAGTAGTATTTTTATTGCGAGGTCATTAAATCCGCAAAAGGAGAGACAACAGGAATAAAGGGCAATATGCATAAATGGTCGAGGGTTAATTAAGATCACCTGAAGATTAACGTTACCTGCGGGTGTTAGGTTAGGTTAGTGTTTGGTTAGCGTTACGTGGATAATCTTCAGGTGAAATAAGTTGGAAAGGGTGGAAGGAGAGAAGGGAGAGAGAGAATGTTAGGAAGAAGGGGGCAGGGAAGGGAGGGGATACTAAAGACTCTTGCCACACCTGACCTGATCTAACCAGCCTGATCTAACCTAACCTAACCTAACCACTAAGGTATATGAACTCTTAACTCCTGTATCCTCTGGTGTGTGTGTGTGTGTGTGTGTGTGTGTGTGTGAGAAGACACGTGAGATAGCCTGCACGTGTACTGGAGAACCCGGTCCCCACCCACCCACCACCCCCACACACACACACTGGCAGACGGGCGTAAATTACATCTTTGAGATAATTTAGGTTGGGTTAGGGTAGGTATGGTTAGGTTAGGTATGGTTAGGTTAGGGTAGGGTTAGGTTAGGTTCGTAGTCTTAAAAGAATCCCACCAGAACAAACTTCACTGATACTAAGGTAGTAAAGTCTCAGCGTTAACCCAA